TCAGTACTGGAATTGGAAGCGAAGATCCAGTAGCATCAACTCCTAATTACTTTCTTATGTCACCACACGCAAAAGCAGAAATGAGTTCAAGGCGTCATAGAGAATCATTGCTTATGGAATCTCCTTTGGTAAAACAGCTTATTCACTCAAATATTGACTTGAAAAAGCTAAACTCTGGAATGGAACATAAAAAAGTTTCATACTTAAACCATCCCTATTCCGAATCTAGCATAAATGAACATAAAAAACCCAAATTATCCAAAATCTTTTCTGATATTGATCCAGAGCATGCAAATTTAGGGAATAATTTTAGCAAGTTGAACAGTTTTAAAATTCATGACCAAAATCGCACTGATACTGAGAAAATAGAAATTGCAAGGAAGAAATTGTTTGTTGAGTTTGACACAAAATCGGAAAATAGTAAGAGAAGTAGAGACGATGATTTCAAAAATAAAAGTGACATCCAGACTAATATTAAAATACAAAAAAAAGTCAATGATGAAGATGTTTTTAGTAACTCCTTTGGACATTCCAATAATTCCAATAATCCCAATAATCTCAGAACGAACACAAACTCAAAAAATATTGATTCATATACAAATTTTACAAGGAATGTTGAATCCAGACAAGAAGAATCCTTTAATTCTATAGTAGACCAAAGCGCACAAAAAGGTGGTTTTACCAAAATAGATAATATTCAGAGAAATATCATCCATACGAATGATTCTGATAATTTTGAATCTTCTCTTTTAATTGATACTCAGCTTGTAACAGATATTCATAACATAACTCAAAAAATAGATCATGTCAGTCCCATATCAGTCACAAACACCCCCAGCTGGAATGAAGCAAACACAAACGATAAAAATAACACTTCACACTCTAAAAACTTTCAGGATATTAAGGGTACCATTAGTACAAACAGGGATAATTTTTTAAAATCAAGTGATACTGTATCCAAAGACACTGAGCACGGAAATAAAAAGTTAATTCAATTGGACCAATTTTTGAATAACAATGGACTACTAGATATCAACGCTGTAAATGAAGAAATTCAACGTAGATTTAAAGAAGAGGATGATATGTTTGAAAGTATGCTCAGTAAAGCTAAAAAGGGTCAGGTTAAAGAATTTAAAACGCCATTTAAAAAACCATCACTCAAAAAACAAGAATCCCCAAACAAAAACAATTTTCATATCAAAACTGTAGATAACATCGAACTAGAAAATAACTCGATAGCGGGGAAAGAACTTTTAACGACTGGTAATTCCAAATTTAATTCTTTAACTGAGAGCGGCCTGGACCAGGATGATTTATTTGAACAGATTTTGAAAAGGGCTAAAGATATACCCAAGAAGGATTTTAAAACGCCCTTCAAAGGTAGTAATACCAACAAAACTCCAAAAGAAGTATCTATACTCAAACCATATTTCACTACAGAAGCTCCAGCTTCTTCGACACTAAATACCAATTTTAGCTTAAACGCTCAGCAAAACTCAAGTATCAAAGTCCCTAATAATGAACATGCCAAAAAGACAGCTACCATAGATTTGGGCGAAGAACTTGGTGAAATGAGCGAGTTTGATGTTAAAAGCATATTATCGAAATTTGGTGAACTAGGAAAAGCACCACAACCCAAAGAGCCCGGTTTTGATATTATTAAGGAAAATAATACTGGAGACACAGAAAAATCCAAATATAATCAATCAAGTATATCCAAGCTTATTCCACAAAAGCCTGATTTGATAAATAACAACGATATAACTGAAACACCAACCAAAAGAAGTAGCAATAACCAACCTGCTAAAATGACCCATGTAAATATCAACCCTGGATTTAAATCTCCCAACCAGGTATTAGTTTCTGATCATCACGCTGCCGAAGGCTCTGAAAACAATCAAAAAAGATTAACAATTAGTGTTAGCAAAACAGATCAATTCGATATCACTAATAAGGAATTAGGCAAAGACAAAGATGTTTCTAAAAAAGTTTTAGATCGTGAAACAAAATGCGAAATTAATGGGTATCATAAAAAAACGGGAGTTGATAATTCAGAATATAATAAAGTCTATAACCTGGATTTCGAAACCCCTACGAAATTCATAAGAAACACACCTTTGAATTCGACAAAATCTAACAAACCCGTAAATCTATATGGAGCAAGCACTACAACACCTACAATGGATTTGTTGAAAGGAAGTTCAAATAGAATGGTTCATAGTCAAGGCCTTCGCAGACCGAATATAGCTAGAGGCCAATCTCCAGGCTTATTCCAAAGTCCTCTACTTTCACAAAAAAGCAAAAAAACTTTGTTTAAACCTCCCGCAATTTCAAAACCAATTCTATCAAGTTCTTCAACGCAAAGGAGCAATACTGAAGAATTGAATCACAATAAAAAAAATGATGAAATAACAAAGTTAATTCCCGAAATTAGTACAGTTTCGAACAATACAAAGGAAAATGAAATTAAAGCCAGTTCTGCATCTTCAGAAGTAAAAAAAGTGTCACTCAAGAGTTTTGGAAAAATCTACAGTATCAATGAAAATATCTTTTTAGACAAGATACCAAAAGAAGTTATAAATATTAACTTTTTAAATGCAAAAGATTTTGCTTTCACTAACAGCCCAAATGGAGATGGTGATTCTTGGGGACACAAAGAGGCAGGGCTAGAATTGAGAAAAAATGGATATGATTTTAAAAAGACAGGTCTATCAAATCATGATTCTGAAAAATGGATTCAAACTCATTACCAACAACTAGTTTGGTACCTTGCTTCAATGGCTAGAAGATTTCCAGAAAATTCACAATTTTTTTGGTCAAAAAAAGCCGTTTTTGAGAGACTAGTAAAAATATACAAAAAAGAATTACTAGAATCACATAGACCAGCAATCAGAAGAATACTTGAAAGGGATTCATCATCCAAGTTGTTAATGGTTCTTTGCATTTCAGAAGTAATCTCAAAAAATTACATATTGTTAAGTGATGGTTGGTACTCAATTAAAGCACAAATAGATAACTTGCTTTCAAGAGCAGTAGCCAGAAAAAGGTTAGATATTGGTACAAAAATAGCTATAATTGGTTCACAACTTAAAATGGGATCCGGAGGGTTTGAAGGAATCTCACCTCTTCAAATTGAAGACCCAAAATCTGAAACTGCACCCTATCTTTTAATCAATTCAAATAGCGTTAGAACAGCTCCTTGGTATCAAAAACTTGGCTTCCAGCCTAAAAACTCAAAGATGTCATATTCACTACATACATTAGACCCATCTGGTGGTTCAGCATTTGGTGAAATAGATATTATTGTTTCCAGAAGATATCCACTAAGATATATGGAAACAACAACTTCAAACACCAGAATAACTCGCTGTGAATCTGAAGAATCTCGCTGCCAAGCAGAGTACGATAAAATGTGCAGGAAAAAAGCACAATCTCTGTACTCCAACCTTGAAAATGAATCAATCACAAATAGATCAGCACTCTCAACTCCAGATAAATTAAGAAGCTCTATAAACTTTGACGAAAAAACGGGAGAGGAATTATATTCTTTGTTTTCAAACTCAACAGATCCTTCACATCTTACAAGTATGCTCTCAACTGAAAACCAGAGAAAACTGGAAGCATATGCGGAGTCTATGAAAAATGAGCGTGCAGAGATAGTGAATAGTGAATTATTGGATTTAATGCCCCCTAGAAAAGTAGTTAGCTTTTTTCAAGTGCTGATTACTGATACCCAACAAAATAAGTCGGTAAAAAGTAAGCCAAAATACAACAGAGTTGTTTTGTCAATATGGGGATCAGACCACAGTGTATGGTCACAATTTTCTGAAGGAAAGAGATTCAAGGTATTCCAGATACATTTAATTATCACTAATCATTTTCAAACTAAACTAACAAGAAAATTTAATACTTAACCTCTTAAAAAATATTTTTTTAATGTAGTTATACGGAGTTACTCCATCTGGATACAAATCAGAACAGACCAATAACAATAGCAAACTATTGAATACTAATCAACGAAACTTTCTAAGATTGAATGTTACAAGAAACACAGTATGGGTCCCAGTCAAAGATAATAATTTTGAGAATCTAGAAGGATGTGACCCAAGAAAGAATTTAACTATTTCACAATTGACTCAACAAAATCTTAGAACTGACGTTGATATTGTGGCCATAGTGGAATCATGCGTAAATGCAAAAAACTATGGTCAGGATGTAACTGCAATTTCACTTTTACCAATAGAACTAAATGATTGGGGCAAGTATAATATCATAAGTAATAAGCCACAAACTAAAAGCAATCCTTTTGAAAAAGAGTCAAATATTGAAGATATTCAAAAGTCCCCTGAAAGTGAATTTGGGGACGAGCTTGATCATTTGGCTAACTTGTATAATCTTGGGGGTACACAAGGGACAAACTCGAGTACAAATACGATATTTAAGGAAGAAAAAATGATTGTGACCAAAAATAGATCTTCAGCTAAAATGAATACACAAGAACCAAAAATGTTTGCTTATTTTTCCAAACAAGTTTTTGGAACTATATTATTAAAGGTAAACCTACTAATATTTAGTCATAAGATCTAAAATAATATTTAAATAGCCAAAGGAAGTAATCAGGATCAAGGATATCTATCTTGGTAATTGGGATCAAACTCGGAATGTATACTTTGGTACTTCAAGGGATTATACTGAATATCACACTATCAAAGATCATGACAATATTAACAAATAAAATTTTGTCTCCTCCTGACCCTTAACAAACGTTGAATAACTTTAATGGTGTGAACTGTAACAAGTTTTATGTACAAGTTTGGTTTTTTCATCTGTCAATTTACAAATATAAAAAGCATGTATTGTCTATAATCTGGAACACATTTACAAACAAGGGCTTTAACAAAATTTTGATTTTTGACATATTTCAAATTTACTAAGAATCTGTATAC